TGACCAGAATGAGTTTGTTTCTGTTTTGTTCATTTATTTTATTTTTTACATTCAAAATATAAGTGAAGTTATGGTATTTGTCTTTGTCTGGCTAACTTATTTCACTTAGCATAATACCCTCTAGGTCCATCCATGATATTACAAATAGTAAGATTTCACTTTTTTTATGGCTAAGTAATATTTTATGGTATGTATGTACCACATCTTCATCCATTTGTCAATAGACACAGGTTGCTTTCATATCTTGGCTATAATGCAGTGAATATAGATGTGCAGGAATCTTTTCAAATTAGTTTTGCATTTCTTCTGATAAATACTCAGAAGTAGAATTGCTGGATCATGTGGAGTTCCATTTTAAGTATTTGAGGAACCTCCATACCATCTTCTAAAGTGACTGTATCAATTTAGAATGCACCCAACAATGCAGAAGGGTTCCCTTCCCTCCACATTCTCATAAAAACTTCTCGTTTGTTGTTTTTTTTTAAAGGTGGGCATTGTGACAGGTATGTGGTGCTATTTCATTATGTTTTAATTTGCATTTGTTTGATGATTGGTAACATTGAGCATCTTTTCATGTTGCTATTGGCCATCTGTATGTTCCTCCTGGAGAAGTGTCCATTTAGATTCTCTGCCCAAATTTAAATCAGATTGAGTTTTTTTATTATGTGTTATTATGAGTTTCTTATATTTTGAATATTAACCCCTTACTGGGTATATCATTGGCAAATGTCATATTCCATTCAGTAGGTTATCTTTTTGTTTTGTTGATGGTTTCCTTTGCTGTGCAAAAACTTTTTATTTGATGTAGTCCCATTTATTTATTTTTTCTTTTGTTCCTCCTTCTGAAGGAGAGATATTCCAAAAAGAGTTACTAAGAGTGATATCACTGCCTCATAAAATGAGTTTGGGAACCATTCATCCTCTTAAAATTTTTGGAACAGTTTGAGAATAGGTATTAATTCTTCTTCACATGTTTGGTAAAATTTACCTGTGAAGCCATCTTCAGGACTTTGTTTGAGTTTTTGAATTACTGATTTTACTTTGTGAGTAGTTAGTCTATTCAGATTTTATTTCTGTACCTGATGCAGCCTTGGGGGATTCTGTGTTTCTAGGATTTCATTTATTTCTTCCAGATTGTCCAATTTTGGGGGATATAATTATTCATCATCTTTAAATAATTTTTGTATTTCTCTGATGTTGGTTGTCACTTATCCTCTTTTATTTCTGACTTTATTTATTTGGCCCTTATATTTTTTTTCTCCATGACTCTGGATAAAGTTTTATCAACTTTGTTTATCCAGCAAAGTAGCTCTTGATTGCATTGATTTTTTTCCTATTGCTATTTTATTTTTATTTATTTTATTTTTTAATATTATTGTTGTTCAAGTACACTTGTCTGCATTTACCCCCACCACTTCTTCCCCTGCTTCCACCTGTTCCTTGGTTTTGTCTATATGTCCTTCATAGTTGTTCCTGAAGACCTTTATCCCCTCCCACCTCCCCTCTACTTACTGTCAGTTTGTTCTTAATTTCAATGTCTCTGGTTATGTTTTGCTTGCTTATTTGTTTTATTGATTAGGTTCCACTTAAAGGTGAGTTAATATGGTATTTGTCTTTTGCCACCTGGCTTATTTCACTTAGCATAATGCTCCCCAGTTCCATCCATGCTGTCACAAAGGGTAGGAGCTCCTTCTTTCTTTCTGCTGCACAGTATTCCATTGTGTAAATGTACCACAAGTTTTTGATCCACTCACTTACTGATGGGGACTTAGGCTGTTCCCACACTTCACTACTGTAAATAATGCAGCACTAAATATTGGAGTGCACAGGTTCTTTTGAATTGGTGTTTCAGTATTCTTAGGGTATAATCCCAGCAGTGGTATTGCCCAGTTCAAAAGGTAGTTCCATTTTTAGTTTTCTGAGGAAATTCCGTACTGTTTTCCACAGTGGCTGCACCAGTCTGCATTCCCACCAACAGTGCACTAGGGTTCCCTTTTCTCCACAACCTCACCAGCAATTGTTGTTTGTTGATTTGTTTATGATGGACATTCTCACTGGTGTGAAGTGGTATCTCATTGTGGGTTTAATTTCCATCTCTCCGAAGGCTAGTGATGCTGAGCATCCTTTCATATGTCTCTGGGCCCTCTGTATGTCTTCCTTACAGAAGTATCCATTTAGGTCCTTTGCCCACTTTTTAATTGGATTGCTTGTCTTTCTTGTGTAGGGTCCTATGAGCTCTTTACATACTTTGGAGATCAAACCCTTGCCCAAGGTTTCATTGGGAAATGTATTTTCTCATATGGTTGGTTCCCTTTTCATTTGTTTTCTTTAGCCATGCAGAAGCTCTTTAGTTTGAAGAAGTCCCATTTGTTTATTCTTTCCTTTATATTCCTTGCTTTAAGGGACATATCAGTGAAAATATTACTATGTGGAATATCTGAGATTTTCCTGCCTATGTTTTCCTCCAGGACTTTTATGGTGTTATGACTTATATTAAAGTCTTTTATCTACCTGGAATTTATTTTTGTGTATGGTGTAAATTGGAGGTCGAGTTTCATTGTTTGGCATGTAGCATCCAGATCTCCCAACACCATTTGTTGAAGAGGCTATTTTTACTCCATTTTATGCTTCTGTCCCCTTTGTCAAATATGACTTAACCATAGAGACTTGGTTTATTTCTGAGCTCTCCATTCTCTTCCATTGGTCTATGTTTCTGTTTTTATGCCAGTACCTACCAGGCTGTTTTAATTACAGTGGCCTTGTAATGCAATTTGATATCAGGTATTGTGATCCCTCCTGCTTAGTATTCTGGAAAAGAATTTATATTTTGTTGCTATGGAAAAGAATTTATATTTTGTTGCTATGGGGTAAAATGTCCTAAAAAATGCCAATTAAATTCATCTGGTCTATTGTGTGATTTAAGATTGCTGTTTTCATGTTGATTTTCTGTCTGGGTGATACATCTATTGAAACTAATGGTGTTAAAGTATCCTTCTGTGACTTTATTAATGTTGAGCTCTACTTTTATGTCTTTCAATATTTGCTTTATATATTTAGGTGCTCCAATGTTGGCTGCATAAATGTTTACTAGGGTTATATCCTCTTGTTCTATTATTCACTTTATCATCATGAAATGCCCTTCTTTGTGTCTTGTTATGGCCTTTGTTTTAAAGTCTATGTTGTCTCATGTAATTTTTGGTACCCCAGCTTTTTTTTGTTTCCATTTGCATGAAATATCTTTTTTCATCCCTTTAAGTCTCTTTGTGTCCTTCAGTCTGAAGTGAGTCTCCTGTAGGCAGCATATGTATGAATCTTGTTTTATTCTCAAAGAACCCTTCATCTGTCCCTTAACAGAGCATATACCTAAAAGAAGGAAAAGTATTAAGAGGATATTTCTGATTTTGTGTTTTTGTTTAACCTTTATGTGCCCCAGTTATGTTGTCTGTAAAATATAGATTAAAAAAAAACTTCATAGGGGTATTCTGCTGATGATTAATTGGCTTAATGCTTGTAGATCTCCAAGAGCAAGTACCTGGAATGTAGTGAACAATCTCATATTGTTAGCTTCTAGTGCTAATACTCTTAATACTGCTACCACTACCCTTGCTAATATTTGACTTCTAGATCTTCTAACTCTCCAACCAGGCAAGGACACAAGGGGAACTTTATTCAAAAGATGGTGTTCACAAAACTTTTAATAACTATGCGGTGATTCTAGTTGACAATCTGACTTCATCAGTGTGCAGACAGGGGCATAATTGTGGACACATAGGTTTATGTAATGGCCAGTCAGAGTTATAGCAAAATCTGACACAGACATTCATTCAGTCAGTTGAATCAGGATGAAACATTCAACAGTTCAGTGGTCAGGAGTCAAAGCTACCAGGGCCAGTGGTTCATGAGACAGGAAAAACTTCATTCAGCTAGCCATTCATTTATTAATTGTTTCATTTCAACTAAGCATTTATTCTTACTATATTGCAGGAACTGCGTGAACATAGATGCATGGGGAGGGAGGAAATACATAGTAGCTATCTATACGAAGCTTCAAACATTGTGGAGAAAACAAATACTGTCCAACTGTAACATGCATTCAGTATTCTGAAGAAAATATACAGGGTTCTACAAAGGGATAACAGGTGTACTTAATTTGGTAGGAGCCTCAAGTAGACTTTCCAGAGGATAGAAAACAGCATTTAGGTTGGTACCTATAGTACCTATAGGTACCTATTAGGCATTACCCAGGTGAGAGCAAAAATGCATTTCAGGTACAGCTACTGCTTATGAGATGGTCCTGATGTGGTAAAGAACATGGATATACTTAAGGATTTAAAGAAAACCACAACCAATTCCTAGGGTTCGAGTGTTTAGAGATCAAGGGAAAAGTGGTGAGAGGCAAAAAGAAACTGGGCCACGTTCAAGACTTTGTAAACCATGCTCAGAATTGTTGCCATTATTCTAAGATCTTTGGGGGATATTAACAAAGGAACTAAGCTATTTAGATTTATGGTTATGATTGATGTGTGGATGATGATGGGAAGAGAATGAGAGCAGGAAGAAGAAAACTAGTTACAGTTGTATTAGTATTCTCTAGAGAAACAAAACCAATAAGACAAAGGTAGAAAGATAGAGTGATAGAGAAATAGATGTTTTAAGGAATTGGCTCAGACAACTGTGGAGGTAGTAGTTCCAAAACCAAATGCAGTCCACAGAATAAAAATTCCAGTAAGAATTGTTGTCACAGTGTTGAGTCCTGAGACACCACAACGCAGAACTGGTGTTTTATCAGGGACCTCCATTTGTTTTGTATTGTTTTTAATCATTTTAACTGATTGGATGAGGGCCACCCACATTATTTGACACCAGAAAATTCACCTCCTATCCTCACAAAAAGGTCCACATTGGTTAATTCCATATAGATAAATATATTTTGAATACAGATACTCAATTTCCTTTTGTTGTTATACTTATGATATATTATCATATCAAAATAACAGGTCTCAGTAAGAAAATGGTTTTTTGCGAAGCACTCTTTTGAGAGCCCCCTTAATTTCTTTGTTCTGGAGGCTGTAGATGATGGGGTTCAGCATGGGAATCACCACTGTGTAGAATACAGACACCACCTTGTTCTGGTCAGTTGAGAAGGTGGACTTGGGCATCACATATATGAATGTGATGGTCCCATAGAACAGGGTGACCACTGTGAGGTGGGCAGTGCAGGTGGAGAAGGCCTTGTGGCGCCCCTCGTTGGAGTTCATCTTCAGGATGGTGATGAGGATGTAGATGTAGGAGACAAATATGACAAACACTGTGACCAAAATGATGGAGCCAGATGTAAATGAGGGGACAACTATAAGAATATTGATCTCAGAACAGGAGACTTCTACTAGAGGAGCAAAATCACAGAAAAAATGATTGACGTGATTTGGTCCACAGAACAGTAAAACATAGAAGCAGATAATAAAGGAGGAAGCATTGAGAAAACCACCCACGTAAGCCACTATGAGGAACTGAACACAGACTTGTGTGGACATTTTGGTTGGATAAAGCAGTGGGTTGCAGATTGCCACAAAGCGATCATATGCCATTGTAGCCAGAAGGAAGCACTCAACTGTCCCAAAGACAGCAGTTGAACCAAGCTGCATGCCACATCCATGATAGGAGATTGGATTTCCCTGCACCAGGAAGTCTTCAAGCATATTGGGTGTGACAGAAGTTGAAAAGCACATGTCAGCAAAAGCCAAGTGGCTCAGAAAAAAGTACATAGGATGATGGAGCTGAGAAGAGGTTCTGATAAGAATGATTGTGCTGAGATTTCCAGATACAGTCATCAGGTAGATACACAAGATGATGACAAAGAGGATGACTCGAAGGACTGGGTCATCAGTTAAGCCTAGTAAAATGAAGTCTGTCACTGCAGTGTGGTTCCCAGGCCCCAGGGAATCCATGAGATAATGTTGCTGCTACCAAAACAAACCTGTTATGGAACATTACATTAATATCAGCACTCAAACATGAAATCTAATAAACAAAATAAAACCAGAGGCATGGATACCTGGAACAGACTGACAGATCTCAGAGGGGAGGTGGGTGGGGAGAACTGGAAGAGGTTAACCAAAGAACACTTATGCATGTATATACAGCCCTGGACACAGACAAGAATGTGATGAAAGCTGGGAGTTGTGGGGACAAGGGCTGGGTGGAGAGTGGCAAGGGATGGGTGAGGGGAAATGGGGAATATCTGTAATAATGTCAACAATAAAAAAAGGTGTGAATTCAATGGTTTTTCTTGATTAATGCACATAAAAGTTATTCTAAACAAGATAATTACTCAAGCTAAGTTTGGACACCTTTTAGACTCCAGAGTTATGTGCAATGAATCTTGTACATTTTTGACAGCTAGTGAGGGGGGAGGTTAAGGAGTGGAGGGATTGAGTAGAAAGGTAAAAGGACACATGGAAATGGACAACAGTGTAGTTATTGATGGGGGAGGGGGTAAAAAGGGACTAAATGGCAATGGAAAATATGTAGTAAAGATAAAAAATAAACTTTTTATCAGCAACACTATAGCACCTGCTTAAAATAATGTATTACTTTTTATATTATCAATTTATAAAATGTACCTAAAGTGGCTTGAAATCTAAGCACTGAAAATATAAAAATTATGAGAATACCAAATAGGAATTGTCAGTATAACATAAAAGATACATGCGTATATATAGGATTACATAATGGCAGTGTGAGTAACAGCTAACATTTATCGAAAGGTTACTAAATGCTAAGCACAGTGTAAAAAATTTAGATATTAATTTCCAAGAAATAATACTGAGGACTTATATTTATAAATGAAGTAACTGATTTGCCATTGTTAAGTAACTTACCAAGTTTACCCAGCAAAGGGTGGGATCAAGTTGTGACTCTCAAAAGAGTTTGAATCTAGTCAATTCCTTTTATAACTATACTATAAATGAAATTAAATAATATTCATGATGTAGTTGAGTCAGAAATGCATTGGTCACAAATTACCATTTTTACAGCTGATATATAGAGGAGGTGCATAGTTAATGAGAAAGTTTAAATTTTTATCAGTAAAACAACTTCATTTTTTAAAAAGAAATATAATTTTTTGCATTAGTTATCCTTTTTATTGTATTTTTTCCATTAAAATTTACCCTTTTTATACCCTCTTCCACCTCCACCCACCCCCATAATCACCACCCTGTTGTCCATGACCATGAGTTCTTTTTCTTTTTTGCTCAATCCCTCCACCCCCAACTACCCACTCCCAGAGCTGTCAGCCTGCTCTCTATCTAGGAATCTTTCTCTATTTTGCTTGTTAGTTCAGTTTGTTCATTAGATTCCCCATATGAGTGAAATTGTATGGTATTTGTCTTTCTCTGACTGACTTATTACACTTAGCAAAATGTTCTCCAGGTTCATTCATGCTGTCACAAAGGGTAAAGTTTTCTTGAAAAGAGAAATACATTATTTTAATATAGCACAGAAGAAATACAGCACAGAAGAAATACAAAGGATTTTTTAATTTGACATTATGAATGAAGACACCTGTTGTAAATTTATTATGTATCTTTAACATTACAATTAAATTATTGTTAATATCAAGTAGTTTGAAATATCCTGTAAATATGTGTAAATTTACTTAAGGAAATCAAATCATTTCCTAATATATCAATGTTTTATAATTAGAGTATTATAGAATGAAATAAATTTAGTTTCATCACAATAATGCAGCTGAATAAAAGCTACAGCCTAAAAAGTTCATTTTCCCCAGGTTTATCTAACCCATGGCCAAGTTGAACCTACCTCCAAGTGTTCTGGCTATATGTTCTCCACTTTGTCAAAAGTATCTTGTTGCCTGTAAGCTAAAGCATTCAAAACAGTAAACAAAGGAAGTATTTGGATATTTACCAACAGTAAGCCCCCAAAGTATCTCAAGCTATTGAATTTATTAGCAATATAGTTGAGTGCCAAGGTTAGATAGTGTGAAACATCATGTGACTTTCTGGTCTTATGGGTGGATAAATGAGGGATCCTGGTATCCTGAATTATAGTTGTTTATACCCACTAACTGGACTGTAGAAATTTAAATGTATTCAGTTAAGGTTACTTGCTAGCTGACTGCCAGATTACATCTGTCTTGTTTTTCCTGTGTGTCTTATGAGTGCAACTTTAGAGAATACATGGAAATCATAGATTACCCATAAAAGCCAAAATCTTACCTCTTGATATGAAACTCATTCATCTTACAGGTAAGTCATTGTTATTATATAGCAGCAATGGTGCCTTTTATTATTGTTTGCCTTTGGGGATAAATCTTTGAAGATTGCAGAGACTCAAATGTGAATTCCAAAACACCAGGGGTCATTATCACATTCCCAGGTGAGTGTGGAGCAGTTCACTTCACATGAACACAATTTATCTTCAAGGGGTCTGTTAATTTTGAACTACTCATTTTTTCTTAATATCTAGATTTTGGTACTTTCAATTGATAATTATTGAAGTATAAGTAATAAATCAGTTCATAGCTAAATACTGGTTGTAAGTATACTTTAATATTTTCAGTTAAGGAATATTAAACTTTAATATAAAATGGTAACCTTAGCTTTATTCCCCCAATGTGTGTGTAATTTATGTGTGTTTTTTTAATAAAGGATGTGAAAGGTTTTTTTTAAGATTTTATTTATTTATTTTTAGAGAGGGGAGGGAGAAAGAGAGAGAGAGAGACATCAATGTGCAGTTGCTGGGGGCCGTGGCTTGCAACCCAGGTATGTGGCCTGATTGGGAATCAAAGCTGAGACACTTTGGTTTGCAGCCTGCGCTCAATCCACTGAGCTACGCCAGCCAGGTGATTTATGTGTTTTGTTGTGATAAGTGTAAGACACTCCTTTAGGTGCCTTGGGGATCCATGGAGTGGAATGCCATGTAAAGTTGAAATTTAAATAACACAATTTAAAACATGTATATATTTTCTAGCAAAAAGTAAATATGTGTGTGTACATATACATATATGTGTATATATACATCTGTGTGTATTTATATATTTTTAATGTCTTTAAAGTTGTAGATACAGAACTATGAAGTAAAAAGGTCAGAATGACCTCCAGATCAGAGTTAATCCACATTCCTGAAAAGGATGACTACTAAAGACTAGTGACTTATTTGAGAAGATGGATGAATGTAGAAACAGCTGTCTTCAACCTGAAGACTCAGCTAATTCTTTACTAACCTTTATTTTAGAACGTTCTGTCTCACCCTGCTGATACACCACTCCATGGAAATTCTACTAATAATACTAATCAACTTTCATTCAGAATTTACTCTTTGCCAAGCACTTGCTTAACACTTTATATACACACTCTCATGTAATCCTCCCAATAATTTGCTGAGCTAAGAATTTCCATTATCCTAATTTTACAGAGTATCCTGAGTCTTAGTACAAGATACTTTTCTAATATATTCAAGTGGTATAATTGAATCCAGGTTTAAAATTTAAGTCAGACTGATGCCACAATGTGTACTCTTAAACGGCTACTGTCCTCTAGTTGACTTTAAGACTTGAGAGCCTCGGTTGTGGCCAATGGTTCCCAATTGGTTCCTGACCTACAGTTTTTACTTTCCACTCAAAGCAGTCTGCCTAATTCCCTAAAACTGGATAGACCTAATTTCTGACCCTGAGCACCAGGTCTGTACTCAGGATCCTAACTTATTCTGATATGTTCACCCATGACCAACTCCTGTTGGTCTTACCTCCTAATTCCAGTCACATGTCCACTTTACCTTAACAGTGCGAAGTGGTGCAATTGATTTTCCTGTATGTACCTTTGGTCTTCCACAGAACAGCCTGAGTTACTTATTAAAATAACTTCATATCACTCATTTTAGTGCTGTCAATTATATGTACTTGGTTAAAATGGCTCAGAAGAGATAACAATTGTTCATTTACCCTTCCTTTTCAAATCCCCACAGGAAACCACTCTTGACTCCTTTTTTAAAATTGAATTCATTGGGGTGACATTAGTTCATACAATTATATAGGTTTCAGGTGTACAATCCTATAATATAATATCTGGATATTGTATTGTGTTCACTACCCCAGGTTGTGTCTCCTTTGACCATTCATGCCTCTTTTATATCCTCTTCAACCTCCCTCATCCCACTTCCCCTCTGGTAATCACCATACTGTTGTTGTCTGTGTCTATGAGTTGTTTGCTTGTTTGCTTCCTTAATCCCTTCACCCAGCCCCACAACCCTCTCCCCTCTAATAGTTGTCAACCTGTTCTCTGAACCTGCTTCTATTTTGTTGGTTTACTTTCTTCATTAGTTTCCTCATGTGAGTGAAATCATATGGTACTAGTCTTTCTCTGCCTGGCTTATTTCATAGACCATAATGTGTCCAGGTGCATGCATGCTGTCCAAAAGGACACGATTTCTTTCTTTTTCACAGCTGAGTAATATTCTACTGTCTATCTACTCATCTACTGATGGACACTTGGGCTGCTTCCAAATCTTGGATATTGCAAGTAATGCTGCAATGAACATTGGAGTGCATCTGTTCTTTAAAATTAGTGTTTTGGGTTTCTTTGGATATATTCCCAGAAGTAGAATTGTTAGGTCATTAGCCCATCCAATTTTTAATTTTTTGAGATAACTCCATACTGCCTTCCACAGAGGATGCACTAATCTGCATTCCCACCAACAGTGCATGATTCTCAAAATATGATGGGGCAGGTGATGATGAATGGAAGAATTGTGTGAAGTCTCAAGGTATCTACTTTGAAGTATCATTCTCTGAGAGCTGAGGTGCCATTGTCCTATATATAATGTTTCTTGTATCTTCTTCAATAAATGTCTCTCATTTTTCATCCTATATAGCTGGGTATCTTCTGAGAACCTCGTTTGCCTGTTTTCTGCCAGAACCATGCTATTTT